TGTTTTTGACTTGCCTTGATCTTCAATAATGCTCTTAATAATTCGACTTATTGCCTTTGTCATAACTCTTCGATGGAAAAACCAAAGCGGACTTCAGAGTATGATTGATGCAAACTTTGATATATAAATAACACGCTTTCATTAGTCGGCCCATTCTTCGTTATTTAAACGATATTTGTATGTTTGCCTCACGATCACTCGAATAATTTAGTCGTAACATACACACATACACACATGCCCATCCCTGAAGGTGGTCGGAGCATGCGACCATCCAGCCTCGTTGTCTTAAGAATGATGAATTTTAAATTTTTGAACACATGCCCATCCCTGGAGGTGGTCGAAACATGCGACCATCCAGCCTCGTGGCCTTAAACATGATGGATTTTAAATTTTAGAACACATGCCCACCCCTGGAGGTGGTCGAAACATGTGACATCCAGCCTCGTGGCCTTAAACATGTTGGATTTTAAATTTTTGAACACATGCCCACCCCTGGAGGTGGTCGAAACATGCGACCATCCAGCCTCGTGGCCTTAAACATGATGGGTTTTCTGCGCCATTGGACTTCTCTTTTACGCTCGAGCTTTTGCGCTCGTCCTCTGGTCTTGAAGTTGCACTCATCCCGGTGCTCTTGTCACCATATTTTCTCACCTGGCTATAAGGTCTTCATTGCGAGGAATTTATCTTCACACTTGCCCACCCGCGAGGAATGTTCTAAACAGGAGGTCTTCGACCAACCTGCCCACCCCAAGGGATGTTCTAAACAAGTGAACACCCAGCTCGAGGGCCTTAGTCATAGTGGGTTTTGGTCTTCACACTTGCCCACCCGCGAGGAATGTTCTAAACAGGAGGTCTTCGACCAACCTGCCCCACCCCAAGGGATGTTCTAAACAAGTGACCACCCAGCCCGAGGGCCTTAGTCATGGTGGGTTTTGGTCTTCACACTTGCCCACCCGCGAGGAATGTTCTAAACAGGAGGTCTTCGACCAACCTGCCCACCCCAAGGGATGTTCTAAACAAATGACTACCCAGCCCGAGGGCCTTAGTCATGGTGGGTTTTGGTCTTCACACTTGCCCACCCGCGAGGAATGTTCTAAACAGGAGGTCTTCGACCAACTTGCCCACCCCAAGGGATGTTCTAAAGAAGTGACCACCCAGCCCGAGGGCCTTAGTCATGGTGGGTTTTGGTCATCACACTTGCCCACCCGCGAGGAATGTTCTAAAAAGGAGGTCTTCGACCAACCTGCCCACCCAAGGGATGTTCTAAACATGTGACCAACCAGCCCGAGGGCCTTAGTCATGGTGGGTTTTGGTCTTCACACTTGCCCACCCGCGAGGAATGTTCTAAACTGGAGGTCTTCGACCAACCTGCCCACCCTAAGGGATGTTCTAAACAAGTGACCACCCAGCCCGGGGGCCTTAGTCATGGTGGGTTTTGGTCTTCACACTTGCTCACCCGCGAGGAATGTTCTAAACAGGAGGTCTTCGACCAACCTGCCCACCCCAAGGGATGTTCTAAACAAGTGACTTCCAAGTCAAACCACACCACATACATCATGTCATCCAAATTATACCAACATTCCAAGCATGAGAAAATGTGCAATAAAGCGAGTAAAATTAGAAGAATCACTGAACTTCATTGACTTTTGAGAAAACTTTGCAATTTACATCTTTTTTCGAATTTTCCAACTTTCTTAAAAAAAACAAAAAATTTTCACACATAATATTTTTTCAAATTAGCTATGTTCCATGACCTGGCAAGTGATCGGCCTTCAGCATCCTTCAGCGAGTATGCTCCTCCTACGTGCACTCGCTCGACCAAGTATGGCCCTTCCCAGTTCGGCTCCAGCTTTCCCACATGTTTGAGCACATCGACGCGTTTCCAAACCAGGTCGCCTACTTAAAGTCTGCGAATTTTCATTTTTTTGTCATGAGCGGCTCGCATCCTCTGTTTGTACGCCTCTACCCTGATTGCTGCTCTTCCACGCAGCTCCTCAATAGTGTCCAGGGCTGCCATCATTAGATCCTCGTTCTGCTCAGTATTATATGCGCTCGACCTCTGTGATGATAGCTCGACCTCGACCGGCAACAATGCTTCCATTCCATAAGCTAAACTGAAAGGGGTTTCTTCTGTTGTCGACCTCAGGGTTGTGCGATACGCCCAATGTACCGAGCTCAACTCATCGACCCATGCTCTCGAGGCCTTTTTCAGCTTTGTTTTCAGCCCATTCAGTATAATTCGGTTGGTTACCTCGACCTGGCCATTGGCTTGCGGATGAGCAACGGAGGCAAAGTGTTGCTCGATTTTCATGTCTTCGCACCATGCTCGAATCTGCTGGCCATTGAACTGAGTACCATTGTCGGAATCAACACTTTGGGCACGCCAAACCGGCAGCAAATGTTGTTGTATAGAAATTTAATTACTTTCTCCTCCGTGATCTTCGCCAAGGGCTCTACCTCCACCCACTTTGTGAAATAATCAACCGCCACTATCAAGAACTTCCTTTGTCTCGTTCCCTGAGGCATCGACCCCACCAGGTCGATGCCCCATTGGGCGAATGGTATAGGGGCACTCATCGTCGTCATCGCTTCTGCCGGTTGGTGAATAAGGGGGCCATGTTTTTGGCATTGTAAGCAATTCTTCACCATCACCTTCGCATCTTCCCTCATCGTCGGCCAGAAATATCCTGCCATCAAAATCTTTGCGACCAAGGCCCCTGACTTACTGTGATCACTGCAGCATCCTTCGTGCATCTCTCTCAGCACATATCGACCTTCCTCCTTAGTGACACAACGCAAACGCGGTCCCGCATACGACCGTTTGTAAAGAATGCCTCCATGTTCGAAAAATCTCCTCATCGCCTTTATCGTTCTTCCTTTCAGCTCCTCTAGGATCGGGGCCCTCCAATCCTCCACTTCCTCAATCTCCGCCACTTCCGCTTCGGCCACACTCTTTTCGAGATGCAATAAGGTGACACTTCTTCTCTTACAATCCACCAAGCTTTGAGCAATTTTCGATAACAGGTCCGCTCGACAATTTTCTCCTCGAGGGATTTGTATCAGCTCGAATGAATCAAACACCTCTTTCAACTTCCTCATCTCATCCACATACTTTTGCATCCGGTCCTCCTTAACTTCAAACCCCTCCTGAAACTGCCCGACCACCAGTTGAGAATCATAATGCACTTGTAATTTTTGGGCTCCTCCCGCTTTGGCTAAACTCAAGCCTTTGATCACTGCCTCATACTCGGCCTCGTTGTTGGATATCTTGAACCCCACTTTAGCCGCAAATTCCAAGTAATCGCCCTTAGGAGAGACAAGGACAATTCCTAATCCTGCCCCGCTTCGTGCCACGGATCCGTCCACAAACAACTGCGATATTCCTCCTGACTCCTCCTCAATTTTCGTGCCCTCCTGGATAAAATGGGCCAACACCTGCGCCTTTATGGCCCTCCTTGGCTCGTACAACAAAGAATATTCGCTCAACTCGACCGCCCATTTCGCCAATCGACCAGAGACCGATGGTCGGCCAAGTGTTTCTCCCAGCGGCATGTTTGTTCGCACCTTCACCTTATGGTTCAAGAAATAAGGTCTCAACTTTCGAGCAGTTACTACCACAGCCAAAGAACACTTCTCGATCTCCGAATACCTCATCTATGCCCCCTGCATCACCCTACTCACGTAATAGATAGGAAATTGCGCTACCCCTTCCTCCCGCAATAACACTGAACTCACAGCCCTCTCTCCAATAGAAATGTATAGCACCAACTTCTCGCCCTGTATGGGTTTAGCCAATAAGGGAAGATTGGCCAACACCCCTCGCAACTCCTCAAATGCCCCCTGCGCCTCCTCCGTCCATTGAATTTTGAGCTCTTCTTTAGTGTTTTGAATAACGGGCCACTCTTCTCTGCCACCTTCGATATGAAACGACTCAGTCCCGCAATTCGACCAGCTAAGATCTGCACTTCCTTAACATTCACCGGCAGCTTCATCTCTATTACGGCTCGAACCTTCTCAGGATTCACTTTAATACCTCTCTTGGTCACCAAGTAACCCAAGAATTTTCCCGACCTCACCCCGAAAGAGCACTTAGCTGGATGCAATTTCATCCCATACCTCCGCAATGTTGAGAACGTCTCTTTCAAGTCTCGCACATGATCCAACTCCTCCTTGCTTTTCACCAACATATCATCCACATACACCTCCATGTTCCTCCCCAGTTGATCCTTAAAGATTTTATCGACCAACCTTTGATATGTGGCGCCCGCATTCTTTAGGCCGAATGGCATGACCACGTAACAATAGGTTCCTCGACTCGTTACAAAACTCACCCGCTTCCTGTCCTCTCTCGCCAAGGGAATTTGGTGATATCACTGGGAGGCATCCATCAGGCTCAGCAATTCGCACCCCGCCGTTGAGTCGACCAATTGGTCGATTCTGGGCAATGGGTATAAGTCCTTTGGGCATGCTTTGTTTAGATCACGGAAATCAATGCACATTATCCATTTTCCTTCCACCTTCGACACCATCACTGTATTCGACAACCATTCGGGGAACTGGATTTCCTTGATATACCCTGCTCCCAATAGCTTCTCGACCTCCTTCTCAATGATTTTGTCCATCTCCGCCCTATGGTGCCTTCTTTTCTGCTTCACCGACCTCACACTAAGGTCAATGTTCAGCCGATGCTCGATCACCTCCACACTTATCCCCGTTAACTCCTCTGCTGTATAGGCGAAAATGTCAGCAAACTCCTTAACTAGATCGATCAACCTCGACCGAATAGGCTCTTCCAGGTCCTTCCCGATTCTAAACTTCCTCTCCTCACACCCCTCGATCATCTTAATCTCCTCCACTTCTCCCCCTGGCTGGATATCCATCTTCTTCTTACCTTTCTCCATTCTCTGTATATCCTCTTTCGACCTCGACCCACCTGGTCGATTAACCTCTTCTTCCTTCGACTTGGCTTGTCTCTTAGCCAGTTGCTTGTTATTGCTCACCGTTGTTTGATAGCAACTCCTTGAAGTGAGTTGATCCCCGGCAATCTCCCCTACGTTTTTGCCCACAAGATACTTGATCGTCATGTGGTACCTGGATACGACCGCCTGGAACGCATTCAAGCTCGTCCGCCCCATAATAATGTTATAAGATGATTCAGCTCCTACGACCACAAACCTCACCATGCGCACCTTCCTCAGCTCTCCCGCTCCCATCGCCACTGGCAAACTTATCTCGCCCATCGGCACCACCTCTCCTCCATTGAAGCCATAAAGTGTCGTGGTCACCGGCTTCAGCTCCGTATTCAACTCATTGTTAATTTGCACAAAACAGTCGTAGAACATCACGTCTATCGAACTCCCGGTATCAATAAACACCCTCTTCACGTCAAAGCCTGCAACCTCCGCGGTTATCACCAAAGCATCGTTGTGCTGTAGGACCACTCCCTCGGCATCCTCCTCCTTGAAACTTATCACCGGCATACGAGCCGTAATCCCCACCTCCTCTCTTTTCCTCTTCGCAGCTCGAGCATGCTCCTTCCTGGCCCTATTCGAGTCACCATCTGTTGGCCCTCCGGAAATCATGTAAATCGTTCCTCTCTTCATCGGGGCCTCTCCTCCCTGGCCCCCTTTATCTCCATCTCTTCTCGGCTTTTTTCCTCGACCACCTCAGCTCTCTCCGTCGTCTCCTTCTTCATCCCTATCACTCCTTTCCTCCGAATCATCTCAACACCTTCTCCTTCCTTTCCCTCTCGCCCTATCATGATACACAAACTCTTACAAATGTCCTGCTCGAATCAACCTCTCAATCTCATCCTTCAAATGACTGCAGTTCTCCGTGGTATGGCCGTAATCTCGGTGAAATCAACAATATATATTCGATCTGGGTCGAGTCGGGCCTGTGAACCTTTTCTTCGGCCACGTCACATCCTCGGTCGACATCTTCTGCTCCATAGCCTCGAGCACCTCTGTCAAATCTTTCCTCAAGGGTGTGAAATTATGGTATCTCTGTCTTTCGAACAACAATGGCCTTCCCTGCCACCTATCGTCCCTCTTCTCTCGCTTCGAATCCCGATCTTCCCTCCTTGGTGAGGTCTTTTTCGACCCACTTCTCTTGGGCGAACTCCTCCTCGGGGACCTCCCTCTTTGTGGGGTTTCCTCCTTCTTTGACTCTGGTCGAGCCGGCCCTTCCAACTTTGCGAACTCTACCTCCATTTCCTCCAAATTAATATACTTCCTGCTATTAGAGGTATGCTGTAAAGTTGTGTTTTGCAGTTTCTATCAAATCCATTTTGATCTGGCAATCATGTTTCGGTCAAAG